TTTTTCATATACTAACTGTTATTTTTATGGTTAAATTGCTTCCAATGTTAATGATGATTCTATATCAAAAATCAACATCCTAACATGATACTAAGAATTAAAATAATATCCTAAACATGATTTCTGTATCAAAATCGAGGAATAAGGATAGTAGATCTACTCACTTTGATGCCTCATATCTCTTTCTATTAAAACAATACACACGTTAGTAACTTCAAGAAAGAAATAAATCAAATAAGAATTGAAATATAGATTAGGGACCAAACCCTCAGAACTATCAACCTTTGACATTGAGGTCAAAGGCAACTTTGAGATTGGCTAGGAGTATTCAAAGCTCGTGATGGAGGTATGGTGATTAATTAGAGAAAAGTATCAAGGATGTGTTGAGATGTGTTTAGGCTAAGCTAAGAGAAGAATCAAGAGAGAGAGAAAAAGTGTTAGAGAGGGGATTAGGATGACGATTGTTGGTGATTGAAAACGGGGTGAAACAACCTCAATTTGCAAGGAAAAAAGAGGGTCAAATGATCAGAAAAGAGTTAGAATCCGAATCGGAATAAAACAGGTTCCATCGTGGCGCAACAGCTTTGCCGCGGCGCGACAGGTCCATCGCGGCGCGATGATCCTACAATTTTGCGGCTTTTGTTTTTTATCATAACTTTTGATCCAGAAATCAGAATAAGATAAATAATATATCGTCGGAAAGCTCTAAAAGTCTAATTTCCAACTCAATTATAATCAGATTGATATCTTTTGTAGAATAAAATATATGATCAAAATAGTGGAACAGTGTCAGATTTGGATAGAGTTTGGTATTTCGTTCATATCTTTTCCGTTTCTAATTGAATTGGGATTATGATATATCATTGGAAAGATGATTTCAAGAGCTATCCAACCATATAATATTAGGATAAAAATTATGAGACAAAAAATTTACTTTTGACCGGGATTAGGATTATCAAAAAGAGATGTTTTATTCAATATTTAATTCTTTAATCTTTATCTTTCAGGAACAGGATAAATTAGCACCTTCTAGAGGATTCTAAAAGATCCTAATAGATTTAGGATTGGGATTAAGGTATTGGACCCTCCTCGTGATCATTGGGTCGTAGGTAAGGTGGACTTAAGTCCGGTTTGGGCTTGGTTTAGTATTTTGGCCATAACTTCTTCGTTATAAGTCGGATTTGGGCTTATAATATATCTTTGAAAAACTCTTTTCAAAAAACCATCCAACTACACAATAATTGGACCAGGATCATGGACAAAAAATAGACTGGTTTGGACGTTTTTATAAAGAAGACACGAAATGAATGATTTTAAGGACACGAAATGAATGATTTTGGTTTAAAAACATTTAAGGAAAGGCTAGAAATGGTCAAGGCTACAGGGAATTCACGAGACTCTTAAACTCTTTCACCTAACTCGATAATCAAAGATGTGAAAAGGTACTTATCACTGGGTTTGGTTTTTGGGGAGACACAATTAGGTGTCTACAACGTGCATTAATATTCAACCAATTTAACTTAATAATAATTTGGAGCAAATTGAATCTTTGTTTGTATGCCTTTGAGATTACAGGAATTACTTTTCACAATAAGAATCTAGTAGAGGCCAATACGGGCGGATGTGACTCCATGACTCACTTCGTACCATCGTCCCCGATCCTCCTTTCGTGGTTGCGAACCATATGGAGTAGGTAATTTCATGGATTATGAATGGGGTGTAACCTTCACGGGTCAATCGTTGTTCCCTATCGTTGTCCCTTTTCGTGGTTGCCTTTTAATGATCCGTGAACGATTTACATCTTCCTTAAAAACTTATTGGCGGCTCCTTACTTTACTTTGTCCCTAATCGTGTCCCTAATCATATGTCAATTCCCACTTCCTATGAGTGTCAAGCATATTCACCACATACTTAGGTAGGCGCGCTTCGAATGACGCCTACACTTTCCTTGTAAACCTTTCTTGGCAAAAAAGGATTTACGCTAGGGAGATCCCATGTCTCCATTCCTTTTTGCTATTGGAATGGAGTACCTCTCCCGATGCATGAGCCAGTTAGCTAATAATCCTGATTTCAACCACCATCCTAGATGTGAAAGACTTAACCTGACTCACATGATGTTTGCGGACGATCTGCTGATGTTTGCTCGAGCTTATAGAGAATCTGTTAGACTATTAATGATGACTTTCATGAATTTTTCTCAAGCCTTAGGTCTGGAAGCAAAATTAGATAAGAACAATATCTATTTTGCTGGGATTTTTGAAGTTGTTAGAGAGGATATTCTGGGAGTAATTAATGTTCCTATTGGTGAGCTGCCATTTCGATACTTGGGAGTTCCTTTGTCTTCAAAAAAGCTCAGCTACTCTCAATGCAAACCAGTTGTTGAGAATGCTAGAGCCAAATCATGGACTAGCAAGTTCCTGAGTTATGCTGGCGGAATGCAGCTTATTAAGTCCATTCTTTTTGGTATGCAGACTTTTTGGTGCCAAATTTTTGCCATGCCTAAAAAGATTATCAAGGAAGTTCAGTCATACGGCAGAACTTTCTTGTGGACTGGTGATATTGAAAATTCTAAGAGAGCTCTTGTGGCCTAGGAAATAGTGATGCTTCCTAAGGTGGCTGGTGGTTGGAATATCAATAATGTTCAATTTTGGAACAAGGCTGCCATAGCAAAACTTTTGTGGGCCCTTACTCATAAAAAGGACAAACTTTCGGTTAGATGGGTTGACAGTTACTATACTAAGGGCAGAAATCTGTTTACTCTTTCTATACCTAATTCTTGTTCTTGGTTATTGAAGAAGGTTCTGCAGACTAGAGATCTTATTCAGAGTAGTGCTAATTGGGATTCTGTCATGACTAAGGGTAGATTCTCAATCGGTAAAATGTATAAACAGCTGTAGGGTAATTTGAGAAGGTGCCTTGGAGGAGGGTGATCTGTAACTCTAAAGCCAGTCCTAAGAGTGTCTTGATTCTTTGGTTGGCTGTTCAGAATAGACTTGCCACAACTGATATGTAGGATTAGCAGTTGGGGTGTTCAATGCTCCACTCACTGTGTTCTTTGTCAAGCTGGTATTTTGGAATCAGTTAATCATTTGTTCTTTAGTTGTAGCTTTGCTGCATACATTACATTAAGGTTCAGAGAAGCAGTTTAAGTTTCTAAGAGGAGCTTCTTATGGCTATAAACATGAGCAGGAAGACTACTACTCTAGTTTGTGATTTATACTATGTGTTTTGCTGAGACAGTCATGTTGGGGGTAGAGGAATGCTGCTATTTTGACAGAAGGTTGAAGACCAGGTTGTTATCATCGGACGTATTTTGTTCAATGTTGCCTGTAGACAGTGGCGGACCCACGTGTAGTGTGGGTCCGCGGACAACCTATTATTTTCTATAAAAAAAAAAAAAAACTAAGTATCAAGAGTTTTAGCTTGTAGTCTGGTGGTTTGTTCCCCATCCTACCACATATGAGATACGGTTCGACTCCCATTACTCTCAAACTTTTTTTTTTTTTTTTGGGCTTTACAACCTCATTTTCACAATTTCACGATTTAAAATATCCCCAAATCCCCAATTCCCCCAAATTGAAACCCTAAGTCTCAAAGTCACCCAATTACCCAAGCCCCGTCGCCGTTCACCGTATCGCCGCCTCGCCGTTCACCGTATCGACGCCTCGCCGGCAGCCCCGTCGCCGTGCATTAATTAGTAGAGAATTGAAGAGTGAGAAGATGGAAAAACCATCTGTTAGCTATGGATATGCTGAGAAAGCTAAGAAAGGGGAGGATTTTTACTTGGTTAAAACTGATTGTCAGAGAGTTCCTGGCAATTCTGCTTCAACATTTTCAGTTTTTGCTGTATGTGATCTAACTTTATTTTGATTTACATTTTTGTTTTGGATTTGAGTATAATTGTATAAACAGTTTTTTTTTAGCAATTGGGTCCTTTGTTTTTTTAATTTTTTGCTGTTTTTGGGTTTTTATTGATATACAATTGTAATTTATTGTTGTTTTTGCTTCATTTTAATTGTTCAATCTTCATGTATTAATGCTAGTGTTATGGCTGTTATTATTTTTAATTTATTGTTTTGATTCTTTTTGTTTATGGTTATATAATTCTCCGAATAATAATTGCTAATAATAGAGTGATGTAACCAAAAAAGATAATAATAAAAATAAATAAAATAGAATGATTCTGGATGGGCCTTTTTAGATAGATGCTTAATTTGTTGGGGATTTTGATGTGTGTTGATCTAGTCTCAAGATTATATGTAATAGGGATTTGTAACAATCTGACTGATTCCAGATCTATATGTTCACTAGTTCCATTCTGAATTTAACTAGTTAGGAATAATTTTTCAATTTTGGCTGCATTTTTTTTTAATCACAATCTGAATTTATGCTAGTATAGGGCATGTTCAGTCATTTTCTAAGAATTGTCAAATTTTTAATCTCTTTTTGCTCTTGGCTGATATACAGATTTTTGATGGGCGTCATGGAAATGCTGCTGCTATATACGCTAGGGATAACTTACTGAATCATGAGTTAGCTGCATTGCCTCGAGAGCTTGGTCGTGATGAATGGCTTCATGCCTTACCTAGAGTACTAGGAGGGCAATGTTTACTTTAGCCCTGTACGATTACCTGAGACAAAATATCTTAATGTTTATTTTCTGGTTTAATTTAAGATGAACGCTCCAGAAATTTGAAGATATTAAGAAATAGAGCATTGACAATGTAGTGCCCGCTGAGTTCCTAATTTTGAGAAACTCACTAGCATTGACTCATTTCTAGAGCATCCTTTATTACTTAGATTGGATTATTTTTCTGAGTTTTTGATTGTAAGTTGACATGAACTATAGCTTGCTGAATTGAGCTTCCTAATTAAATTATGACCAGTCCTAGCATAAGATGTGTGTAAAGGGGTTATTTTTATAGCTTAATGGGTAGTTGATCAAGGATTGGTGACTGTTGATGATTGAATAGGGCCAATAGGGGTGAACTTTGTCTTGGTAGCATTGTTCAATGACTTATGCACAATTCTCCTGTGACTGTATGGGAGTGTCTTATAGAGTTCATTTAAATTACTTTAGTTCAAATGGTAATGCTTGCCATCCATAGAAAATGATGTTTATAGATATGAATGCTTCTGACTTTCTGAGCTTTGAGGTAGAATATATGCTGGTAACTTGGAGTTTTAAAGCACGAGATTTGTTTGAACAAACATTGACTAATTGTCATGAGACCATGTATACCGTACAAGGGAAGTAGATTTGCATTGACATAGACCCCGAAAAAGGTGTATTCAAGTTTGTGTTGATTGTTGAACACTTAGGTTGAGATCTTTCAGGGATTTGGTTTAGAGTTCAGGTTTTGTATAGTACAAGGTCGATGGACGATGATACAAGCTTTGACTATTTTTTGATATTATATGCGGTCGATGGACGATGATGGGACAACCTATTAATCAAATCCTGGATCCGCCACTGCCTGTAGATGTGATGTAGAGATGAAAAAGTGGTTGTTATAGTTTCTTTGTGTTTTTGAGGCTATTCTGTATTGTCTTGCTTTGCTAGAAAGTTTCTTGGTTATTAATAAAATTCTCTATTAATTTCCAAAAAAAAAAAAACCCTCAACCGGAAGCTCTGGAAAACGAATCCAAACGGATATGTTTTGGAACGAGTCTGTTGACGGTCTAAATTTTGGTTTACATTTAGAAATCATGAGATAGTGATCCAATATGAACCAAGGACCTCCGAACAATACCTTTTCATATCACCATGAATAGAAAACCTAAACAAGTAGACTCCGTTTTCCATTTTTATTGTCTCCAAGCCTCCTTTTGGGTTCCACATACGTTGAACTCTTTGAGCCATGTACTCCGCTCTGATTTTCAGCCCTAAACACTTACCCATTAAAGTAAGTTCCCATGGTTTTCTAAGCTCTTGAATTTTTTCCTTGGGGAATTTGACAATGTTAGCTTGATTCAGACTGTGGTCATCCTCATCGTCCCAATCTAATGAGTTAACCACTATTTTCCTTGCTTCAGTAAACCATTGCGACGACCTAGCCACCGCCTCTCTAAACGTGCCTTTACTCTGAACTTTCACATTAGAGTTAATGACCCCCTGTTGCTTTTTTGAGTTTTGCTCTTTCACCTGGTCTTGTGGTTGATGCTCACCTTCTATTTCCATAGGTTAAGTCACCTCATCGTGCTCTCCTTCTACTTGTTGACTTTGTATAGAAGTATCTCCTTGTGGATTTTCCCCTGTATCATTTAACTTCCTTACTGATCTAAGCCTGAGATCTTGTTCTTGCAAAGAGGAAATCTCCATTGAGGAGAACATCTTCTTAAGCCAAAAAAAAAAAAAAAAAAAAAAAAAAGGAACCTAAAAATTGATCTTTTAGGGATAGACTAGTGAATGAAACACTCTAATCACCTTACATGAAAATGCAAAGCACACTAAACTAACTCTCTCTCCGCTAGGAGTAAGCTCCCGGAGCTCTAACCACCAGGGTGGTCGAGTTGGTCTCCGATGGCTTAGGCTTCTAGTGAGAGAAAGTCCCTATCCCGTGTATGCTAACTCACAACCTGATAATTACTCATCATATACATAGAGTTGGATAGATGTTCTTAACTTCTTATATATTAGGAGTTGTTTATTTGTTGGCAATTACTCTCTCTATCCCTTAATTACAAGCCTGTAACCCTTTTTGGGTTTTCAAAATTAGATGTCTATTTCTATTTAAATAATGTATTTTTTGACAATATTCCACTACTTTTGATGAGTTGTCATCTTTTTTTTTTTTTTGGTACTTTTGAGATCCATTTCCAACACTTTCTCTCTCCATCTCTTCAATAATTACCAACTACCTTTTCTTTCTCTCTATTTTTTCTCTAACCCCACATTTTAGACCTGGAAAACGGGTCGTTCAGGTCGGGTCGCTTTCGGGTCAGCAAATATTTGGGTCGGGTTTGAGTCGAGTCGGGTCAATTCGGGTTTAGGGTCAATTCGGGTTTAGGGTCAAATTCGTGTCAACACTTCGGGTTGAGTTCGGGTTGGGTCAAGTTCGAGTCGGGTCAGTTCGAGTCGTGTCAGTTTGGGTTGGGTCAGTTCGGATCGAGTTAATTTTCAAGACTAATTTTTGGGTTAAGTTCGGGTCGAGTTAGTTTGGGCCGGGTCAGTTCGAGTCGGGTCAAGTTCGGGTCAAGTCACCAAATAAAAATTTACTTAAAAACATTATGGGAAAATTCCCTCTTATTTCAATAATAGTAGTAACTTTTATATAATAATTAGAAAACTAAAGTAAATTTCTTATAAAAAAAAACACCACAAAAAATGCTTGTTGGGTCACTTCGGGTCAGGTCATTTTGAGTCGAGTCACTTCGGGTCGGATCGGTTTAGGTCAATCAGTTCGGGTCACTTCAAGTCGGGTCAACTTCGGGGTTCGAGTTAATTTCGGGGCGGGTAATTCGGGTTAGGTCATTTCAGGCATCGGGTCACATTCGGGTCAACTTCACTTCGGGTCGGGTCGGGTTAGTTCGGATTTGGTTCATTTTCAGGTCAATGATTTCAGGTCATTTTTTGGGTTGCGGGTCGGGTCATTCGAGTCAGGTCAAGATTGCCAAGTCAACTGCCACATGCATATTTGTACTTCCCTATCATAGGCTTATAAATAAGGGACGAAGGGAGTACAGCTTTTTGTTATGGTTGGTTGTGTTATAATGTTGGCTAGCAGCTGCCATGGGGTTATGCTAACTTTAAATTTATATTGTGGACCGCAACTTCAAGTAGTGGTTCTCATCTGTTATTCTGTTATGAAGTAACGGTTTCTCTCTAAACCGATAATAAAAATTGTTTTTTTCCCCCTTACTTACATGGACGGTAAAGTGGTAATTTATTAAAAAAAAAAACGACTGCAATATCGAAATTGGATTTTTCGCTCAATTATATTAAGAATGTAAAATCACGCAATTTATTTACAATTTTACCGCTTAGTTAATTTACATTAAATGCATTCCAAGTTTAACTTGTTCCCTATTGGGCAGTAATTCACAGATTGAAGTGATTACTGTAAAGTTCTTCAAAAAAAAAAAAAAGTGAGTACTGTAAAGTGTGAACACAAGCCATGTCTTCCTACACAATCCCCCAAATTGAACAATCGAGCGCTAGGGCTTATTCAAAGTTTCCCAGAAATTTAATTCAGTCACTCACTTTCCAGGTAAATAATTAATCGTCATCTTCTCATAATTCTTTCATTTTGATTTCTAATTGAATAAATTTTTATATTTGTTAAACCCCTTGAATACACAGATTCTAATTTATATATTGCAGTTTTGTTTTGCTAGTTTAATTGCCCTAATTTTTGGTACAGTATCAGAAATTTGCAGAATTTTTCAATTTATTTTGTTTCCCATTTGAAATGTTGCTTGATTTTGTCATAGGGGTTCCAATATCAATACCCACAATGTCAGAATCATCGGTGTTCAGTAAGATGATGATGAATTTTCGTGAAAGTTGCAGGTAAACAGTTAATTAGATTTTTCTATGGGATTATAATTATTGAACTATAGTATATATTGTAAAATCTTAATATTGTTTTGTATTTTGTTGTGAAATTATAAGGTATTATACTGGTTATCCCAAGGATTTAGGACCATCCCGTGTAATACATTTTACGTCGGAGCGTCAATTTGTACAGATTCTTCACCAGGGCTACCCTGTGGTTGTTGCTTTCACTGTTAAGTAATATGATGGATTTCCTTGCCCCCTTTTTACCCTGTTGCAATAGTTGATTTCGGTTTTACTTTCGTCTTTGTACCCTTTTCTTAATGTGAAATGATTTGTGGAATTTGTAGGGGAAATTACACAAGACATCTTGACAAAGTACTAGAGGAGGCTGCGGCCGAGTTTTACCCTCATGTCAAATTTATGAGAGTAGGTTTCTTCTTCTTTGTGTTATGTTTATGGGTCTGCAGAATCTTATATAGTCAATTTGAGAGAGTAGGTTCACTCTTCATTATAAAATTAAGAAACAGTCTGTATTAGAATATGTTTATAAAATGGATATCCATCTCTTCTTTCATGTAAGAAAGCTAGAGCCTGTATTTGATTGATATAGTAGCCTTTGACATCGTGGTTGCTGTGGTTTATTCTGCTTGTCATGTGTCTTCTCTGCATCACTCTAGTATATCAGGCATATTGGATGTATAGAGAGTATAGACAAAGGGATGATAGGGATCTTGATGCATTTTACTGCAGTATTGCTGCATTGTGTAATGATATTTTAGTCAGTTTTATCTCTAGTAATTTTGATACTTTGTGTATTTTCAGGTTGAGTGTCCTAAGTATCCAGGCTTTTGTATAACACGGCAAAGGAAGGAATATCCATTTGTTGAAATATTTCATACCCCAGAGCAAGTATGTCCGATCCTTCTATATCTAATAGTCTTCTGGGATTTGGACTATACAAGCATCCAGTTTTAGGATCATACCTCCTTTCAAATTTTTTCTAAAATTAGCATTGGGTATTTGTTGATTGTATCTCTTTCTGGTTCAAGATGCAACGTATTTGAAACAAGCGAGTGATTGCAACTAGATGGCACAGCTCTGTAAAATTTACATGCCATCGCCAAGATAACAACTTTTTGTCTTTTCTCTCCTGCAGGCTGCTGCCCCGGGAAGGGTTACTGATCCAAATGTCACCAAGTACTCCGTGAAAGTCTTGCCTGTAAGATTCTGTTATATTTTTCTAGTACTTGGGTCTTATTCATTTCTTTGAATTGCTGTACACATGCTGTTGTTCCTGTAAACCATCAATTGGCATTAAATTTGGGCTTAGATTTGGTTTTAATCATTCATTCTATTTTACCACAAGTTGCTATTTATTGACTATTTATATTTGTTTTGTTGCTTGCTACTTAACAAATACACACTGGAATCATACCTCTTTTACAAATGAAAATCTGTTATGATTTCATGTTGCTTTCTAGCTTTTATCTGATGTCAAACCTGTTTATCGAATCTGCAGTTCAGCCATGATCTCAGTGCTTATGGATTTAGAGAATTTTTCAAGCGCCACAAGATTCAAATGTCTAACCAGGAGTGATCTCTAATGAGGCCATAGCTCTCTGCGCTGCAATTCTTGTTAAGCTTCACCATGGAATGTGAACGACACTGTTGTGCCTGGTTTTAGGCCTATTTATAGTTGCTGAAACCTCTGTATTATCATGTGCAGAATTAGTTACCCTCGGATAACTATTTCTGAATATTTGATTAATGCTTTATTTTTGAAGCGGAGAAGATGCAATTTATTCATTGGAAAAGTGATATACATAGCACTGCCTCTTACCACCCGAAGCTGTAGCACGTGAAGCTAAAATCTTGATCTTTGCAATGTTTTACTGGTTTTCTATCAAGCAAATTGTAGCCTGTACTCAGAAGAAGTTTTAGTTGCTGAATCCTTTTTGTGCTCAGAAGTGCAGTGGTATAATTAATTGGGTTAAAGCTTGTAGTAGGTGATATGTGCTGGTTCCCTGTTTTGACATATTCTGGTAAATGCCCGAATAAATTAGACAAAAAAATGTTGGTAACGCTGAATTGTATGAAGATCATTACTCTTTAAAATTCCGAAGTAAATTTTCTTCATCAAGACTCGTGTTCAACCTTTAACTCGGGAAATATCTCCATGTAGAATGTTGTTTTCTCTGGTAAAGGAAAGGGCACCATTTGGTAAATTGGCGGAGCAATTTTATGCATTTTAAAGCGGTTTTTTGTGTTTGCATATGAATTATGATGTATTGATGAAGGTGAATTCCACTTGAATTTTTCCTTATTTAAGGATTTGGTGTGAGGTTTACATTGAGTGATCCTTTAAACCAAATCTTTGTTGGAATTTAAAATTTCTTATTAGCACGTAATGAACATGATGTTTTTCTTAACTAGTAAAAGATGCCTCTTCTAATAACTACAAGTCTACAATATACAATAAGCCACACTGTTGATGAATCATGTCATATGTTTGAAACCTTAGGATATAAAGTACAAAAACAGTCCTATAAAAGGAGTTGGTGATGCATTATCCAACCAGTTTTGACAGTACTAGGCAATCCAACTGAAAGCAAATCTTACAAACTATGAGGCAATCACTAGCAATAGCTTACTTCTTCATGAGCCTTGTCGCAATTAATGTCATCGCTGTCTTGGCAACCAACCGACTTCCATTTGTCTTGAACCCACATGAACTGGAATCATCTCAATATGTCATCACAGTCACAGGTAATAGTGAAATGAAAGTGATTCGAATCAGTGAATCAAAGCTTTCTTTCTGGTAGAAAATTAAAAAATCTTGATGTTCCTTTGGTAGAAGTAAGCTTCTAATCAGCGTAAAAACTAACTCAAAGGCAATTTTCTGTAACAGGTTGCAATAATGACTGTGATACTACATGCTGTTATTGTGTCATTAAACAACCACCAGTTTGTCTGCAATGCTGCAATGAAGATCCTTAATCTGCCACAAAAGCAGCTGCTTTGGCATGCTACCAACCGTTATGGCACTATACAATGTAAATTGTACAACAGTACATGACTAAAAACAGAGCTGAAATTGGTGAAGCTTCCATATATGCATATTATAACTAAACCATTACAGCCAAAGTACATGTTGACCTTATGTTTCAACTTTCAACACTGATGATTTAGTTCCCATTCCAGATTTCAGGTGTAGAGTAACAGTTTCAACTACATTTCTGTTATTAGAGGTTTTGCAATTGTTTGCATAATATTAAGTATAAAAAAGTTATGATACTCAGAAATACCGAAGCAGATATTATTACTCTTGCTACTTTCGCAAAGGCTACATGTTTACAAAAAGCTCCAGCACATTGGTTGTCAATTTGTGATTAGTACAGTACAGCCTTCAACGGAGCATACAAAAACAAAAAATGCACAATCAACTCATTTGATAAAAAAATTTCAAAAATGTGGATACTATGACCTTCTTGATAGCCCAAGGAACACAGCAGCAGATGCAATCTGCACCTTCAAATCCGCAATATCAATATCATGACCACCCTCGACAAGACCCCACTTGTCCACCTGTCAGATGAAACAGTATTAGAATAGTTAAAAAAAATAATAATAATAAAAAATAGGAAAAATTGCAAGGAAGTTCCTTTTAAGTGGTGTGAGAAAGGTCCTTTTAAAAAAAAAGGTGGCATGAAAGGTCCTTTTATGGCGATTGGGTTGTGAGGAGGGTCCTTTGACCAAACTCCAGCGTTGACCTGCGTTTTCCGGCAATAAAAAATCACGTGCTGCGCACGTGACCAATTAAATCAGATTTTTTTTCTTTTTTTCCCTTTCCCTCTTCTTCCTTGATTTCCCTTTCAATCAGAATTCACGCTGCTGCACTTCATCAACACCACGGATCATCATCAATGGTTTAAGCTCAATCATGGTTGTTGGATTGATTGGGGGGGGGGGGTAGTTGCAAAGTACAGTTCCCTCCACATCTAAAATCCGAACCAAATTCCCTCCCTCCCTCCTATTCAGCTGTTCTCACCAGCAAAAGCTCAAGCAATTGAACCCCTTTTTCAATTTCAAGTTCAACGCCGCCGCCTTCAACGGCGACTTCGAGAGCGAGCAAGGCAGTTCCAGAGAAGAGAGAGGTTGTTTTATTGGCGCGGATGAAGCCGCCTTTTGCTGAATCGCATGGCGATTACTACTCCTTTTCCGATCGTCTTTTTCCTCCTCCCGATGCCATCATCGTCAACACTCCTGTTTGTACCCTTTTCGATCAATTACTGCTTTTCTCTGCTCCTTTTCTTTTCCTTCTTCCCGATTACCACTATTCAATTGGGGATCTTTTCTTTCCCTACTATTTTTTCCTTTTTTATTGCTTCATTTATTCTCTATTTTCTGCTGAGTTTTACCACTTCTTTTGTTAATTTGCCTTTTCCCCCTACTGTTTTTCAATTCTGTATTTTGCTACAATTTGGCGATGCAAATTTTTTTTTTTTTAAAGAATATGGAGTATTATATTTAATTGAATTTTTTGGTTTTCTTATCTAAAAATTCCAATTGAGTACAAATTGGGTTGATAATTTGATTTAAGTCAATCAAGGAAGAAGAGATAAAGGGAAAAAAAGAGAAAAAAAAAAAAAAAAAAAAAATCTGATTTAAGTGGTCACGTGCGCAACACGTGACTTTTTTTGCCGGAAAACGAAGGTCAACACCGGAGTTTGGTCAAAGGATCCTCCTCACAACCCAATCACCATAAAAGGACCTTTTGTGCCATCTTTTTTTTAAAAGGACCTTTTTCACAAGGTCGACTACTTAAAAGGACCTTCCTCGCAATTTTTCCTAAAAAATAAAGGAAAAAAAAAAAAAAGAAATGATGTTAAAAAAAAATTCTCTCGAATCTCCTTTATTCATAGACTAACTGAATCTCTCCTCCAATATCCTCTATTTATATACTAACTGATTCCCTCCTTGAATTGATATCAATCTTCATGTTGCTTAAGCTACCTCTAACTGAATTATAATGCAGTTCCTGAGCCCTTCCCATATACCCGATGCAATACACGTTCAATGATGCAGCAAATCATGGTTAGATTGGGTTGGGGAGGGGGACGTAGAGGTTGGACTCATAAAGCAACATGGCATATGACACTAACCTGCAGATCTTCTTCAAGACGTATCAACTCAATGGCCTCCTCTAATTGCAATTTTCCACGAACTATACCGATAGAAATAATTAAAGAGTGTGATGCAGATGTCAGTGCATCAATGGCAGCTAGTTCACAATCATCTGCTTTCTTCAATAGACTTTCAACGGCTTTTACAAGACCTTCATCCTGCTTGCCACCAAAAAAACAGGTGTACACTACAGGCTTGTAGCCAAATTCTGACTCCACCCACTTTAGTAGAGGATCTATTTTTTCAACTTGGCGTTCTGCAAAGATTTTGAGAGTAACATGCGATTAGAAGTATTGATTTAAATAATTCAGAAAGTATCCATATAGAACAAAGTTCATACTTCAATTAAGCAGGGGACAAAATCAAAAACAAGTTAAAACCTACTCATGGGGCATTCAGGCCCTCTCCCTCTCCTGATGACTACTCAACAACTAGAGAGTTAAAACAAAATTAATTTGCATATCGATGTATGAGCATAGTTCAATAGAATTACTCAAGAGCATTCAGCAACCGCACCACAATAGTTTCCAAATGAAAGTCTCACTAATTTGATGGCAAAAAAAGAAAAAAGGGAAAACAAAAAACAAAAAAAGAAATTCTCAATGGTGACCTTCAACAATTGCTACACTGAAATGGTAACCCTCTATTTATTTTTATTTTTTTATTCAACATGAACCTAATTAAGAATTAATTTTCACTTATGGCATAAATGGATGTTTTATCTTAAATTTTTAGTTATAAAATAACTATGGTTAGAATATTTAAAAAAAAAAAAAACGACGCCCACCCTTTTTCTCTCCTCTTCGCTTCTGACCGACCACCCCTAATTCCACCCACACAGTCGGCGACTACAACTCACAACCACTCGGAACCACTCGGAACACTGCCAGAGGAAAATCAACCCATGTCCCCCACCGTTTTTTATTCTCCTCCCCTTCAATTGCTTCTCAGGGTCCCCTTCAATTGCTCCACCAGAAGTCTCCATATTCTCAATCCCACACCACCCTGAAGTCCTTAACTACCTGACCTTGCAAACACCGGCCATTCCCCTCCCAAAAAACCTAATCTTACTACATTTGTGCCCATTTTCACCAAAGACGGTCACCATGTGCCTCTCAAAATCTCCATTAAAGCTCTTAAAGGTAGAATATCATCAATGGAAACCAGCACAAAACCCCAAATTATCTTTTCAATTTTCGAATTTCGCCATTGTTGCAGAGACTTGAGTTTGGTTTCGTATCCAAGTAGAGATCGGAGGATCCGATCTTTCGATTCCAAAAATAATCTATACGGGGATACGATCAAAAGAGTGTCTTAAATAATTTTTTGGACATGACTAGCATATAAAGTATCGGGATAATTTTTAGACACTTAGTTTAAAAAAATTCTAATATTAAAAAAAAAAATTGACATGAGAAAAAAAAAAAAAAAGGAAAAAATCAAAGTCGAACCATCCAATTGTTATTAAAAAAAACTACTAAAACAAATTGCATATTGTTCCAAAACCAAAAGATCAAAGTCAAACCATACAATTGTTATAACAAAAACTTATACAATAAAACAAAATTGCATATTGTTCCTATGTTACTCAGACTCTTCATTTTACCCCAAATACCCATGTTAGACCCTCGACATAGGTATTTGGGGTCGAATATGGGTATGACACTTGGACACTTCATCCAATTCAAAATCATAAAAAAAATTTCACAAAACAGCCGAGTCGGTGTCAAACATGGATACTAGAGTCCGAGTTATAAAGTATTGTTCCAAATCTCGGAAACCAAATATTCCAAAAGGCTTACAATATCATTAAAAGCTCGTCATCTTTAGCTCGTAATCTTCATTTAATGCTCATCATTTTAATTACCAAAACCAATGATAGCCCTTTCTAACTCCAGTTCGTTGATGGATAGTTCTTCTATCTCGTAAACATCAACATCCTTATCAAATTGATCTCCTCTCGTACAAACATTTAAAAAAAAATTAAATTAATAAGATGGTTATGCTAAATATCATATAAAATACTTAATGCTCATTATTTAATAATATTACCTATGTCCTAATAAGTCTGATTTGTAACTCTCTTGCTTCCTCGCCAATAGTCGAAGGTTGTTATAGCAATACACCAAGTCTCTTGCCCTTTCAGAAGTCGGCCTATTTCTCTTTAGAATTTGAATATTACCATAATGACTCCAATTTTGTTCACAACATGAAAACGATGATGGTTGTAACAATAGTTTAAAAGCAAGTGATTGTAAGTGGGGAAGGTATGAACAATAATTTGCCCACCAAATTATAGGTTCTTCACCATCTCGGCAGCAATTATATGAGCTTGATTGAAAGGAGTTGCTTCACTAGAAAATGCCCCATACTCTAGTTTTGCATGCTTAAAATCATTTTCATCGGAAAATAGACGTTGCAAACATTCATTTCTATTGTTAGAAACCTATTCATCTTCATTAGGTGCAATCCTTTCAAATCCCTCTCTACTAGCATTTAGCCATTTTGTGTCTTGGAATTAGTGAGTGTGCTAAACAATGTAAGGGTGTGTTACTTTTGTTTCATCTACACAGTAATACTTCTTGAATAGCATTAAAAAAAAAAAAAAAAAAAAAAAAAACCCTTATTAGATAACAAGTTCTTCCCTTCATGTTAAAAAAATGTTAGACTTTTACTCTTTCGATCATAGTATCCCACATATCATAGACAAGATGCAAAATAGAAGCATCTTTGTCTCCAACCCAAATAGTCATATATAAGCTCAGCAAACTTCAAAAATAATCAACATTATCCCACTAATTGTCACTTAGAATTTTTTCTTTGTATTCATGAGCCTTAATATCAATAGGATTTTTAGGAGATCTAATCAAAGTCCTAAAATTAGTATCCATTACCATTTTTTCAAGTCCATCTTTCAATTCTCTCATACGTTTTGCAGCCACTTAATGACTAGAAAACTTTGTTTCAACCACTAACAAGAGTTGTATTTTAACATTCTTCTTGAAAATTGCCTTCACCATATCATATGAGGTAACAAATTTTTGAATATCGTCACAAAATTGCCTTCACCATGTCAAGAGTTGTAACCTTTGCACGATATCTAGAAACTTGTGACCTGAAACAAGGTTTGCTAGTCATTGTGTTGTTGCAAAACGTATGAGAGAAGTGAAAAATGGACTTTAAAAAATGGTTATTGATCCTGATTTTAGGACTTCGTTTAGATCTCCTAAAAAATCCTATTGATATTAAGGCTCGTGTATACAAAGAAAAAGTTTGAAGTGACAATTAGTGCGATAATGTTGATTATTTTTTAAAGTTTGCTGAGCCTATATATGACTATTTGGGTTGGAGACAAAGATGCTTCTGTTTTGCATCTTGTCTATGATATGTGGGAATACTATGATTGAAAGAGTAAATGTCAATGTTTTTAAACATTAAGGGAAGAACTTGTTATCTAATAAGTCTTTTTTTTTTAATATTATTAAATGCTATTCAAGAAGTATGACTGAGTAGGTGGAACAAAAGTAACACACTCTTACATTGTTTAGCACACTCACTAATTCCAAGACTCGAAATGGCTAAATGCTAGTAGAGAGGGATTTAAAAGGATTGCACCTAATGAAGATGAACAAGTTTCTGCACACTCACTAATTCCAAGACTCGAAATGGCTAAATGCTAGTAGAGAGGGATATAAAAGGATTGCACCTAATGAAGATGAACAAGTTTCTAAAAGTAAAAATGAATGTTTACAACGTCTATTTCCCGATGACAATGATTTTAAGCATGCGAGACTAGAATATGGGTCATTTTCTAGTGATGAAGAACCTAAAATTTGGTGGGCAAATTATTGTTCCTACCTTCCCCACTTACAATCAATTACTTATAAATTATTGTCACAACCATCATCGTTTTCATGTTGTGAAAAATATTGGAGTCATTATGGTAATATTCAAACTCTAAAGAGAAATAGGCCGACTTCCGATAGGGCAAGAGACTTAGTGTAATGCTATAACAACCTTCGATTATTGGCAAGGAAGCAAGAGAGTTACAAATCAGGTCCTAGCCGTTATTGGGACATAGGTAATATTATTAAATAATGAGCATTAAGTATTTTATATGATATTTAATATAACCAGCTTATAACTTTTTAATAATTGTAAGAAAGGAGATCAATTTGATGAGGATGTTGATGTTTGCGAGATGGCAGAACTATCCATCAATGAACTGGAGTTAGAAAGGGCTATCATTGGTTTTTTGTAATGAAAATGATGAGCATTGAATGAAGATTATGAGCTAAAGATGACGAACATTCAATGACATTGTTAGCCTTTTGAAATATTTGCTTTTTGGTTGTCTGGGAATTAGAACAATATGCAATTCTGTTTTACTATAGTAGCTTTTGTAATAACAATTGGATAGTTTGACTTTGATTTTTTGGTTTTGGAACAATATGCAATTCTATTTTATTGTACTAGTTTTTCTTATAACAATTGGATGGTTTGACCTTTTTTTTTATTTTATTTTTTTTTTTTTTTTGGGACAATATGCAATTCTTATTTAATAGTTTTTGTTATAATAATTGGATGGTTTGACTTTGATTTTTTATCATGTCAATTTTTTTTTTAAATATTAGAATATTTTTGTTAACTAAGTATCTAAAAATTTTCCGACACTTTATATGCTAGCCGTGTCCAAAAAATAGTCGAGACACTCATTTGATTGTATCCCCGTATTAGCTATTTTTGGAATCAAAGGATCGGATCCTCCAATCCCTACTTGATACGACACTGAAACTCGAGTGTGTGTAACATAGGTGATAATTGAATGCCTTAAGCTATAGGTGTTGTCATGTTGGTCTTAATGCTTATAGCCTTATAGTCTCTTGGTTAATCGACTTCATGAACTTATTCTTATTGGACAAGTTTAATACGTGAACACCCCTCATAGCTAACCAAACTAATAGGTAGGGTTGGGAACTTTAAAGTTTAGTGTGTGCGGGAGTGACCTAGGTACACAAATTTTCCCCTTGATATCTCTATAATCGACTTAGCCATAGATTATTAAAATGCTTCATGTATGCCTTGATCACCTTTCCCTAGGGTCTCGTTCTCCGTATTAATCGGTCTTTAACCTTTAGACTTAATTTATTGCCTTAGTTTCATTAGATACTTAATCATTCAATAAAATACTCAATATATTTGAAAGTTGGTGAGCTTAGGTATCCCACATTCTAGCTTACAAGTAGAATAATGCTTCCTTTTTTTTTTTCCCAACATCGAGTTTTAGAGGGTTGAGTTGAATTTGTTAAAATATTGTGTATGTGGAGGTTGTTGGGGAATTATAAATTATAAATTATAAAGAAAAGAAATTGAGATTAGAGAAATAATATATTTTTTTTTTAAAGTATGTGAGGGGTGGAAGTGGAGAGAGCATGAAAGGAGAGAGATATAATAAAATAATATAATATATCTCCATTTAAGGAAGTGTTGCACTTACAAAAAAGTCATTTTAAGGAAGTATTGCATTAAAATAAAAATGACAGGAGTAATACATATTACTATATTAGTAGTAAGGATTGATCACAAGTAGACGATAATTTTCCAATCAAAATCCAATTTTAAAATATATTTTAACGATAACTATTACTTCGGACTTATTAAAGCAATTAACATTACTAGTTGGTCAAACAAGCCAAGTGAACCAACAACAATCAAAATTTGATTCCAAACAAGGCCTATGGAGTAATGTAAGCCCAATGTACCACTCAAGAAATGCTTAGAATAGATGTGCTGAATGAGTAATATAAGAAAAGGTAAGAAAATGAAGTGAATTAAGGTGGTGACATGGGATAGGGTAATGATTGTGTGAGGAATGGAAGAATTATTACCATTATTTTGGGGGTGATAACTACCCACCATCCCCTAATGGCCCGTTTAGTCGGCGGTAATAAATAGAAGTAATGAGACTGTATTTTGTTGTAATTATGTAAGTCAATGTACCAAAACACATGGTAGTTCTAATACATATAAGATACCTCATTATCTTCATAAATCTTCATTACCATCCGTTATCACTTAAGGGTGTGGTATTGGGTGGTAATGAGACTTTATGAAGAAAAGCATAGTTTTAGAAATGAGATGGCATGACCATCATCATTATGATACTTATTTCTAAACCAAATTACACAAAATTCATTCTTATCCCATTATTTATTACAGACTACCAAACGGGCCGTATGAGAGAGATGTAGAGTAGCGTATCACCAATTATTAAATCCCCCTACCCTCTTTACTCTTCCATGTGCATTATCACCACATCAATCCCTCTCACAGCACCTAAATTTCTTCATTCCTTTTCTTTCAATTTCACTTACTCTTAATTCCTTACCCCCAATACAAGCATGGCCAAACAATGCAAAGTCAAATTATGAGCTTTAATTACTTTAAGTTATACTATCTTAATTTATGTTAAAATGAATGTTTCACCAAATAATCATAGCAGTTCCATTGATACTTCATTTCTTCCGCATTTATTGTGTGCCATTCTTTTTTAGATATTTGTCAACCTCACTAACAAAGTAACAAAAACAATTAGCAAATAAATTAAAACAGCAAGGCTTAACATATATCTTTTGCAGGCATGCATTTGTTTCATCACTGCTTCATCCTGTTATTACACTAATGCTGTCCTTTAGCTTCACAAGCATAAAAGGCTGGCCTTCAATAACAAAACAGTTCAAGACATGGCATCTATCACACTCAAAGCATTAAAAACACGAGAAGGGAAAGGGATATAAAGTTAAAACCAGTAATAGAGAGTGATCAATATTAGGGATCATACCATAGACACCGCTGGTTAATTCGTTGTCATGTGGAGCACGACAAAAAAACCAAGTCTTGACTGAACTTGCTCATCAAATTATCAATAATTTTTGGGCGAACAACAGGAACTCGTTCCAATGCAGTGCAAGCAAGCTTCATCAATGGCATTGTGAAGGGTCTTATTCCATCTGTTTGCTACAAATAATACCAAACAAACCCGAGATTCAATTAACACCAAAACCCCTTCTCAAATAACATCAAATCACAAACACAAATCTCAACAACACCAATAACAGCACCAAATTATAAATGCCGATTACTTGCAAAATCATGTAGCAACCCAGCAAATTCAACCAAAAGCCCCAAATGCCCAATTCACATCCAGCAAACATGATTACCATTTACAAATCAGTGATCACCTATTCAACTAATAATCACCGGGAAACAATACCCTTATCGAATAAACATTAATAACACCAATCCAAGCATGATTTCGCCACGAATTTCAAAATCAAAACAATCTAAGGAAAGAGAGTAACCTGGAAATCCCACTCAGCAGCAATAGCTTTAGCAAGAGAAAGAGTAGGAAGTTTAAGAGGACGTTTAGAAGGAGTTTTAAGGGTTCGATAATCGAGCATAACACTCCACCCATTACCATCATCAGCTTCTCTCGTTGTTACTTTCTTGTAGAATCTCTTTCCAACAATAGAACCTGTCATGAACGACATCGGCATTGTCACTGACGAAGCTGCCGCTTTTTTCGCCTTCAGGTGTATGCTGCTGTCAGCGCCGTCAGATGAGAAGGTGAATGCGTCTGATTCTTCGGCGGTGGTGGTGGGGTTCGCGGCGGCGGCGCTGAAGGGGCGGCGGTGGGTTGTTAGGGTTCGTAAGGTTAGTGAGTTGATTGATTTTAGGGAGTTTCTTATGATGTTTGACGCCATTGTTGAAGATTCAATGGAGTTTGAAGGTTTGATTGAGTTGAATTTTAGGGGATTCGGAAATGGGTTTATGTTTGCAGGGGTTTATGAATTGATGACCATGTCTCCGTACGATTTACGAGGTGGTATTGGGTTGAAATTTGATTTTTTTTTTTTTTTTCTAGAAAAACAATGAAGAGATTTTATTACTCAAAAGAAGAGGTTAAAATCAGCCATTACAAAATCAGAAATTTTACTAGAAACCTCCTCCATTCAAACTTGGAGATCGACAAAAGAAGAGCTAAGTTTTGCTAATTCATGAGCAACACAATTACCACTTCGCTTCACAAAGGAAAAGGAATACGAATGACATTCAAGGGCAAGCTGCATAATATCTTTGATAATTATCTCAAAGGCTGTAAAAGGAACTTGATATCATGTGTTTGGTTCAATTTTGGAATGAAATCTCTCACTATGTCGGTTTCTAAACCCCATACCTCATGGGTTTAAGGTATGGGTTTAAAATTCATACTTTTGACAACCAAACATATGGTATGGGTTTCAGTCATTCTAAACTCATACCTCATACCTATATTTCGCGAACCAAAAGCCCCTAGTTGAATTTATTAACAGTTGAAAAACAATTTGACTAATACTGCATACTCCTTGTTTTTTTTCTGAAGAAATACAAGTTGATGTTTTTAATCAACAAAGTTTGTTAATTTACTAGTCGGATTGTAAATAAATGAAATATAAACTGTGATTTATCACTCATTTGATGAGTCATTATTGGAATAAAGGAAGTAAAAGACGTGTTATGAACTAGACTTTTTCCATATCTAGATTCATTCAACAACATGTCTATTAACTTTCTTTTATTCATCTTCTTCTTCCTTTGTAACCCCCTCCTAACTAGGGCTGAGTAAAACTATCCGAAAATCAGAAGATCCAATCAGCATCCGATCCGAAAATTATGGATATTCGATCCGGAATTAATCGGATATCAGATATCCAACTCTTGGATTTCGGATATCCAATATCTGAAAAAAAAAAATCATTAATTTTTTACAAAAACATTATTTCTTACGGAGTACAGTACAAAATAGTGAAATACACCAAACCCTATATTCTTTTTCTTAAACCTACCCCACGCCCCACCCCCACCTCTCTTTGTCAGATCTCAATTTCTCACTCTCTCTCCTGTCACTTTCTCTCTCTTCTCTAACTTTCTCTCTCCACTCTAACTTCCTCTGTAACTTTCTCTCTCCTCTTTAACTTTCTCTCCTCTTATCATCTCAAAATCTCAATTTACAATCTCATACTCTCAGATCTCCTTCACCGGCACCGACCACCGACTCACCTAGCTTAGTGGGCTCTCTTCCAACGGCTCACGCTCACTAACCTCCACCGGCCGGCTCAAGCTTTACGGGTCACCAAACCCTCTGTCATCATTGAATATGCGTCAACCATTAGAACACTTTTTTTTACTTTTTCTGATTATTTTCTTAATCTTGTTTTAAATGATTCTTTATGTCATTAGTCTTACATTATTGTGGGTTATTTGATTCTTGAATATGATAATCTGAGATTTAATTGTTCAAAAAATCAAATTTTCCATTAAAGCTGTATTTTGTGTATTTATTTGTTAAAAGGTTCGGATATTGGATATCCGACCTATCCGATCCAAAATATTCAGACATCCAGATTGGATATCCGAATATTTCGGATCGAATACGGATATCAATTAATTGCTCAGCCCTACTCTTAACACCCATAATTAATGGGAGGTTTAAAATGATGTTATCTCTTCTTAATTTCTAATTAAAGCTTTGTCTTCTTGGATTCTTCAACCTTTGAGATCCCCATGTTTCATTTTATATTCTTGGTTGGAAAAATCAGAAAGACATAGATGACGTTCAAAAAAATACAAAGAGCTAAACATATTCCTTCTTCGGGCATAAGTTTATATGGCTCCTTCTCACCCAAAAGTGCCTAGGGGTGAAAGTTTGGTTTGCGGTGTGGTTTATAGCCTAAACCGAAACTTAACCATATTAATTCGGTTTTGGGATTTTTAAAACCACACCGCACCATATTAATATTGAAACTGAACCAAACCACACCATATAATATTCGGTTTTTAAAAAAAAAAAAAAAAAAATCGAACTACACAACAATTTTTTTAGCCTTGTGATTTGGGCCTTAATTTGCAACTTTTATGGGCCTAATTACTCAAAATTTGTTTTTTGGGATTGATTATCCAAAAATAAAACAAACTATTGTTAAATAGCAAATAATGATATAACAAGTTCTAATTTTTAATGAAGAAACTAGTGTGTGGCCCGGGCGATGCCCCGACTTGCTAGTTTGTACTTGTTTAGTTTGCTAATCACAAGACTGCTTTTACTTAGTATTAAAATAATTATCTTGAAATTTCATAAATTGAAAAAATATCTGTATTAGGAGAACCATATTCAATATTTGATATGTTATGATTTAAAGAGATTCAACAACTATTGATTATTTAATAGAAAATAAAATTATTATTTTTCATCAAATCAGAAAACAATACAGACTTCAAAATTAAAGTTGTTAAATTGTCTTTTGATCATTACATACTGGAAATAAATAGTACAATTAAACACTAATTATATTATACAAGTTAACTATAATTTTGTTGGATAGAAATGCATAATAAATGAATAGCTAAGATGGGAAGACTTGAAACTTGATACTTGTTGGTTTTGAGTTCAAATCTTGCTATAAGCATTTTTTAGTTGTCAACTCTAACACATATTGTGGAGGTGACATGTCATATATATAGTGTTAAAAGATGTGACACGTGGCACATATTGCTGACATGTCAAATTTATAGAGATTTAAAAAGGTGCCTCGTTGCACACATTCTGTTTAGAAACGCTTTTTAATATATATAAGTATAGATAGATGATAGTGACTAAGTCTTACAAGGCCATAATTCAGTTATTCGGTTTTTCAAATCCTAAAACCGAAACCAAACCATAAACCGCAATTTTTATTTTTTTTCAAACTACACCGAACCATATTAGGAAAAAACAAATCGCACCGCATTTCTAATTCAGTTCGATTTGCGATTCGATTCGGTTTTAAACCGCATTAGTTTCACCCCCTAAAGTGTCTTTGACTGAGAGTAGTGTGTAAACTTAGAGAACGTATCGGTGACAAATGTGCACCTCGTTTGCGCTGGAATTCGTGTTCAAAGTCAATGATGAAATGTCATGCCGCGCCATCTTCCTTTGATCAAACAAACACATTATTCATTATATTTTTGTAGCCTTTGAAACACTCATATTACAACAGTCACCAACACCTTAGCGTCATTGTCCTCTCTAATGAAACTCAATTGCAACCGCCACCACCTTGCTCCATTTTCTAGTCGATGAAGCACCATTTCTCTCATGCCCCTCTTTCCTCTTCGAAACCCATCATCACCACCACTGATGTTCCCATTTTCTCACTATAACCCATCATCGCCACCACCACAAAAACACATCCTAAAGCGCTACTTCATGACATGGTCACCTTTACCCTTTGGGTTGACCATGGCTTGAATTTCACCCCTTTTCATAGGGTTTTCATTTAATTTGGTGTAGAAGCCGCGGAAGATGGTGGGGTTGTCGTGTAAGTGTCGGTGGAAGATGGATGGATATCGGGGAAGGAAGGAGGAAGCTTCTATGGTGGAGAAAGCTTTTGTCGGTGGAATGTCCATCTCAGCAACATAGTTAGAGGTGTCCATTCAGTTTTCGGTTTAGATTTAGCCCAAATCCAATCCGATCTGGAATAAATTTTGTTTTTTAATTATCAAATCCAATTTGATCTGAATTTGCCACTAAATCCAATCTGAATTGAAATTTGGTTATTTGTATTCGATCAAAAAATCTGAATTAAAACACGTTGCGACTTTTTTAGGCCTAAAGCGACTATAAAAATAAAATTGCAATAATAAAAATTCAATACTTGAAAGTATAGTAGTACACGATTAATAAAAGTATTGAAAACATAGGTTTACATGAATAATATTAATATAATTAGAACATGATTAATATTAACAATACTTATTTATAAAAAACGGTAATAAGGTCAATCCGATCCAATCCGAAAATCATTCGACCCGTTCGGATTTCAAGTTCGGATCCAATTCGAATTAATAATTTGGTTTGGTTTGGATTGGATTGGTTCGATTTTAATCCGAATAATGGACACCCCTTAACATAATACAAGTAAGCAGCGAACGTGAGCACCAACAATTTGATGTAGTGTATGGTGCATTGTTCCTTTATTTACGAAATTGTCATTAGATAAACAAAAAATGTTTATTATTAAGATCGATGGGGGCTGCCTCTTTTTTTACTAACACATTTTTCTTAAACTTTTGTTAATTATGTATGACGAGTGCCCCAATTCATTAGTCTGATTATGACTCACTTAGTTTTTGTATGTTCCCCATTGGAGCCTGACGCACACGCGATGTAGAACTTTGACCAATAATATCTTTAATCATCAAAAAGTATAAATTACAACAGAATACTAATAATCTATTCATTGAGACAATTTCAACAAGTATCACATTTTCTTCTTATGTATAATTCACAAACATTGGTCAAAGTGAGTCAAGTAAATAGTGCCAAATGTCTGGAGTATCTTTGTGTTAATTAGTCAGATTTTTTTACAACTTCTTTAATTTTCTTTTTCTTTTTGAAAATTTAGAACAAACCCATCTACCATCATTTCGCTTCCACCACCACTTCCTGAACCCCATCACAACCACCATTCTGATCCACCACCATCTCCACGTCATCCCACTAATATCTTTGTCTCCCTGTCGACCTCTTCTTCCCGTTGTCCCCTTCTTTTTCTTCCTCTTTCAACAACAATGGACAATGGTGTAAAGTAGGGTCATACTAACCCCTTAGGGAAAACATCTATTTCAATTTGTGGCAGCATCTCCATCTCAACAACAATGATGGCTCGTGGGGAGGAATGGCTGGTGTGAAGGAAGAAGGTAGAATCTTGGGCTGCGATGGTCATGGTGAGAGAAGGAAAAATGGAGGAAGAAAGGATTGAAAATACTAATTTGCCCCCATGAGACTAACCAACATGAGACTGTTGTTGGGAACTATAGTAGAGGCAATTTGCGACATGTCTTGTGCTTGGGCGACCCACTTCTCCCAATGCAAAGGCAATCTCTAGAATCCATAGATGCTTGGTAGGCTGATTGGGTTGCCGATACTATAGCCTTGGTGGAATATGCATACTAGGCGCATTTGTAGTTTTTGTTCATTTTATAAACCTGGACCACTTGTACTTAGGTGACTTGTCTACTA